GGAAGGCCGGTTGAAGCTGATAAAGACGCGATAAAGGCATTAGTTGATGTGAACCGGCGAATAACAACACGTGAGATCGGATGGAGGTTAAATTTATCAAATTCAACAGTTTATGATCACTTGAAAGGCCTGGGATTATCCTCGAAACTCGATGTATGGGTTCCCCATGTTCTCACAGAGAGAAATCTGCGATTCGCTTCTCAAACGTCACGAAAATGATCCATCATCACTGGGGACGAAAAATGGGTTGTATACAACAACGTCAAACGCAAGAGGTCATGGTGCAAAAAAGATGAACAGGCTCAAACCATTTCCAAAGCCGATATTCACCAAAAAAAGGTGATGCTGTCCGTTTGGTGGGATTTTAAAGGAATCGTTTTTTTGAGCTTTTACTGGATAACACAACGATTAATTCGGAAGTCTACTGTCATCAGCTGGACAAACTGAATGATGCACTTCAACAGAAAAGGTCAGAACTAATCAACAGGAAAGGTGTAGTGTTTCACCAAGACAACGCGAGACTTCACACAAGTTTGGTCACTCGCCAAAAGCTTTTACAGCTTGAATGGGATACAATGCTACACCCACCATATTCTCCAGACCTGGCACCATCGGATTATTATTTGTTCCGGTCACTCCAAAATTTTTTAGACGGTAAAACCTTCACCTCAAATGAGGAGGTCAAAAAAGCCAGCAAAGACCAAAAATTTTATGAGCGTGGAATTATGCTACTACCAGAAAGATGGCAAAAGGTGTTGGACCAGAACGGTCAATATATAATTTAATAAAGTATTTGTTTATTATACGATAACTGTCTTTCATTTCCACAAAAAAAAAAACGAAATGACTTTCCGAACAACCCTATATAATGAAAAAAATGTTATATTACAAAGTGTTTGAATACAATATACGATACATTGTATATGTACGTGGACACATACACTTCTAATAAATTGACAACGAAATTGATAGCTTCTTTATTCTGTTCATTCATAATAAAGCGGCATCTTAATCTATCATATACGTATGTATTATGCAAATGTATGTTTTAGAAAAATCGAAATTAGTCTATACTCTATACCATTGTTGTTCTGTACCATATATAAATAGTGAACAAGCATTAAATATTATTGATGCCTCGTTTGTCGTGTCAAAATTATGTAGATTGTGTTATGTAACATAATCACCTTGATTAACATTATTGTGCATACGCCTTCGGCATACTACGGCATGTCAAGAATGTAATGAGTTGCTAAAGAATTTCCTAATTAGCTTTTTTTTAATTAAATCAATGTATTTTAACCGTGTATGCAAATATACAATATATTAGTATGGTTGTCACGAACAAAGACGACTGTGTATTACTTCTCTTTAAATTGCGTATTACAAGATAACACTCCTATTACTCATAAATTAAGACGACTGAAGTTTGTCATCAATAAGCTTCCAAGTAAGAGCATAGGTACGTAGTAAATTTATGTCGTTTTATCGTTTCTAATCTGTATGCAGCGTGGGCATTTATTCAATTACGAAATAGTTCTGGAAACACGGCAATTACGGAATATTTAAGTTAAATATTATGAGAAAGCTGTACTCAGAAAGGCAATTTACAATTATCATGTTATTTATTTTGTTTCTACGGTTTCGTTTAGAAAAGAAGCGCTTTTAGTGGATTTCCTTATTCGTATATAGACTGTGCGGTTCCATATATGTATAATATGTGCTTTTTACTTTTCTTTTATTCTCTGCGAAGAGTAATCAACTTAAAGAAAACATGTAGTCTAATACAGCAGAGCCGGGCAAACTCGGATCTTTTGCATCCCGAGTGATCCTCAAGGTTAACCAAGTAGCTCCTCATTGATCCTGCGAGTGCAAGTGAGATGATTCTTTCCTTTTCTTATCCCTTCCATTTCGTAGATGAGTCCCCTCTTCCATAGCCAAACCCAATAGTTTTGCGAACGTAGTAACGAAAATTTTCGTAGGTATT